AGTACAGCAACATGTTGCTAGCTGCTGAGCTGCTGCGGCAGCTTGAATACATTTAAATGTGTTTCCCTTTTCAACAATTCTGTTGCGCATGTTTTCTATAGCAAGATGTGTATAGGCAACATGTTGCTAACAGTTGCGCTGCAATTAGGCTAATGCGGCAGCTTGTATAACATTCAAATGTTGCTTCCAGTTCAACTGTGCGCATGTATAGCAACATTGGCTTAGCAGCATGTTGCATGGCGCTGATGCTGCAACTCCATGACGCCCACGCGAGAGCAACTGCTGCTTCGGCTACACTCCTTGACCTTGGGCACACATAAAATGTTGCCTCAACTGTGTGTGTGTGTGTGTATGTGTGTGTGAGTGTGTGCTTGTATTTGTGTGTTGCTGAGGCTGCGAGTCCATGAGAACGAGTGCGAATTAAACGCATTTTAGTCGCACATTTCGCTGGCAGCCACAAGTTGTGTGTGTTTTCTGTCAAAACTGAAGAGCTGAACGTTATACGCGAGTTTATTTGTGCTTTAATATACATATGTACATATATGCATTTATATACACATGAATATATAAGTAAAATATTAATGAAACAGAGCACACGCGACCACGATCCCCCAACGAATTGGCCGCTGTCTGAGCGCATTCCACTGGGTACGTACATATGTATGTATGTATGTGTGCAGAGATGTATACCATTTGCAGTGTGGTGTCAAAGTGACGCAGTCTCTTGAAAATAAACAACCAAATCATCAGCATCAGGCACAGCCACAGTCAGAGTCTCAGCAGCATCAGTTTAGGGGCCAAGCATCTTTGATTCTGTGAATCAGCAGCTGCTTCGTCATCGGCGCCACACAAAAATTGTTGAGAGCAAGTTTGTGTCCCTTATTTCTTGCTACTCTTTGCGAATTTGTTGTTTGTTTATTGATTTTTGGCATTGCTTCAAGCAAATGTTTCAAACGATTTCTGCACTGCCAAAACGTGCCCATTTTCATATTTATTATATTCTGTATTCGGTAAATATTTATATAGATTTGTTTGCCTTTGATGTGTCTCAAATGTATGAAGTCGATTAAAATTACTTCCACTGTGGATAACAAGAAATGTACATAAATAAATTGGCAACAGAATATGCGCTGCGTTGCTGGGCAATTTTTAATGTTTTCCTCTTTATTATTTTCAGCATAAATATTTATGCCGTAGGAATTTTATATGCCGTAACTTAATTTAGAGAATATTGTTTGGTTCTTGTCATTTTCTTAATGTATATTAACAGAGTCATGTGAAGTAAAATAAAATAATACTTTTACTCCTTATTATTTGTTTAAATCAAACATATTTTATATAGGAAATATTTATATGCTTATCTCTTTAAAAAATTGCAAAAATAATAATAAATTAATAATGACATAGAGTAAAATATAATAATAGTAAATAGTAAGAAATCAATAATACATAATAAAATATAGTAGAAAAGAATTATAATAAATAATTATAAATAGAAGTAAAACCTCATTTGATTTTTTAAAGTTTCTTAAATGTTAATTTAAATCAAATCTTATATGTATAAGAGTTTATTATACATTTTGGTAATACTTGTCATTTTATATAATCAAAAAAAATATAAATACACAGGAATAACTTTGAGTTAAAATTATATATATAAAATAAATAAATTTTGTTTTTCACTTGGGCATTTTACATAAATTTAATTACAACAAGGTATTATTTTAAAAATTACATTCATTTATATTAGAATTTTACATGCAGTTCAAAGTCATTTTATTTTATTTTTTAATTAAATTTTTTTTTTAATATATTTGTTTTTAACAAAATTTAAATGTGTATAAAAATTTATCTACAATATTCTTATTATATATACACATATTTAATACAATATAATATAGCCAAACATTCTTTTTTCTTTTGCAATATATTTTTTATTTATTTAATTACATACATTAAAATAGATTAAATTGCATTTCAATTTTGATTTACGCCTTGGAACAATTGCTGCCTGTCTTTCAAATATTTTGCACTTTGCAAATAACAAAAATAAAACAGAAACAAAAAAAAAATATCCGCGCAGCATGAAAATCAAATTGTCATAGAGCTGTTAGTCATTTGAATTAATAGCAGCATACGAATGGATAGTTTGGCTAGGGCACTACCGCACCGCCTCACGACCCATCAGCCAAGCCAGCCAAGTCTCATAGAGGTCTTCAACTGAATTATTGTGTAAACTTGCAATGAGCATGCAATTTGTTTCAGTTTGCTTTATTTTCGCTGTTTCGCTTTTCGCTCTTCGCTTTTTCGCTTTTCCAGCTGCCAAGCGTCAGATGTCAGGGGCGCACTTTCCTTTTCAGCTCAACGTGTTGAGCTTTTCAGTACATTATGCCATTTGGCAATGAGGTGGATGCTGGCTCTATTGTGGTGCTGGTGGTGGTGGTGCTGGTGTCATTGAGCCAAAAAGAGACACAAGTGTTTATTTACAGTGCCTTGAGCAGAATTTCGCTGCACTTAATGCCCAAGGCGAACAGCTGCTGTCTGTCGCAGCTGTGTGGGTAACTTCCTTCTGGCCCCATAACGCATTGTGGCCAATTGCCGGTTGTGCATTTGGCTGTTCGTCGTTTTATTGTTTGCCCTCAACGTCGCATCATAATTATGTTGGCAAATTTGTGTAATGAGCGCGTGCAATTACCGCGTTAAGGCTAAAGATACAGATGCAAACACACACACACACACACACACATTCATATACTCACACACTTGAGTAAACCTTGTTCATAGTCAAAAAGTTAGCTGCGCCTATGCAAATCTCATGTATAAGTAGTATAATTAAATTTTGCTGCTGTTGCGTTTCACGGGCTCTTAACTTTTCAGTCAGTCACTGTGTGTGTGTGTGTGAGTTTGCATGTGTGTGTCTGTGCGTGTAATGCAAATGAAAGCCAAAGTTGATTTGTTAGATTTTTCACGTTACGAATGCGATTACGACCGCAACTACATGAAAGTGCAACACGCTCAGCTCCGAGTTACTTCTGTGGCTTGTTTTTACTTTTTTTTCGTTACTGTAATGCTCCACAATAATTAAGATGTTAATCGTAGCTGTAATAATGCGCAGTACTAATTGCTTTTACTGCCTATTTATTATCAACTTAATTTGCAAGGGCTGCCTTTTAATTTGTATCGAGTTTGCTCCCCATCTTGCTGCAGTTACTCTGCCACATTGCAGCATCAACACATTCAAGTTGCAGCTTTAATTAGCAGCGCCAACACGTGCTACAACTTCTTTATAGCTCATGTGTGTGCAATTGGAGTTGATTAACAAAAAAGTGTTGCATACTTTTGGGCGGCGCGTAAAATTGCTCAATGACAAGGCGAGACAAATTAGATTAGATGTTA